GATGCATGATACATTTCAAGAATAAGTACCTTGGAACTCAGGAACCACCTCAGAGTTTGATCTCCTACCTGAGACTTTCCCACCCCAGCTCTGGGAAGGGCAGGAGATGATGGGGTTTTATGCCTCGGCTCTGCCATGTATGTATGTGACTCTTGCCATCACTTCTTATCTTTCAGTTCCTTTTAACATTACAGCCCTCAGCTCTTGTCTTCTCCTGTCTCTAATTGCCAAGGGACTCTTAAATGGGCCGGCTTGCCTTTTCATCGTAAACCTTAACCCATGCCTGTAAAGATAAGCAGCACACTTGATGAGGGTAAAGGTAACTGTTTATTGTGGCAAGTACTTACAAGAGAAAACTGGCACCAAGGTGAGTCAGCAGCTTTCCGCTACAGGACTAAAAGCTGGAAAGAGAGCCTGAGTCTCTCCTGCATCACCTTTTATTACCACATCAGTTCGCGCCTCTAGCCACGCCCAAAGTGGGCATGGTTAGCAGCACAGTCCTGATATCTCTTCCTACACATGCAATGTAGAGCTTGCCTGTTTTGGGGTCAAAATCCTACCCAGGCCCTCCTGGTTGTATTAGCAGGTTCATGTGGAGTGGAAAAGCAGTTGTGAGCAGTTTTGTGTGGAGATGACGCAGAGTAGCAGTGTGGTTCATCTTGTGTCTTGGGTTCTTTGTGTTTATGACAGTTATCATTCGTTTTATTCTAACAGTAGCTTTGGAGCCTGTCCTGGCACTTAGTTTGTAGACCAGACTGGCCTCAAATCACAGAGATCCGCCTGTCTCTGCCTCCCAAGTACGGGGATTAAAGGTGTGTATCACCACCTCCCAGTGTAACAGGATACTTTTCATAAAAGTAAATCACCTTTCCACATATCCTTGAAACACACAACTATATAATAAACTCTTTCTGCCCAGTTTTTCTTTCCAACTTTAATTTTTATTTTTATGTATATAAGTGTTTTGCCTGCATGTACTTGTGTGCACCAGGTGGCTGCCTGGTGCCCTTGGAGCCAGAAGAAGATTGTTCGTCCCCTGGCACTGGAATTACACATGGTTGTGAGTCACTATTGAACTCGGGTCCTCTGTAAAAACAACCAGGGGCTCTTAACTACTGAACTGCCTCTCTCGCCCTCTGCCCAACTTTTCAAATGCACTGTATTTCTAAGTTTATCTACTTGGCTGGGCGGTGGTGGCGCATGTCTTTAATCCCAGCACTTGGAAGGCAGAGGCAGGCGGATCTCTGTAAGTTCAAGACCAGCCTGGTCTACAACAGCTAGTTCCAGGACAACCTCCAAAGTCACAGAGAAACCCTGCCTTCAAAACAAAACAAAAGTTTATCTACTTGAGATTTCTTATTTTCATTTGTTAGGATAGGCTTTTTTCAGAATTCTCTAAAAGCACATTGTGGTAACCAAGGGGATAAGTAGTATCTGTTACTGGATGAGACTGGTAAGCTGCCTTATGCTGGAGGGCAACAATATCACTCGTTTTAGAAATGGCAAAAGACTATGGCCACACCACCCTGAATGCCCATGATGTGTCTGCTCTCAGAAGCTAAGCAGGGTCAGGTCCCTTAGTACTTGGATGGGAAAAAGGATGCAAGAGTTACATATTATTTACTTACAGAATGGCAAGTGATGGCTACAGTCCAAGATAGCAACTCTTAGCTCCCCTGTTAGAATTATCTGGAAACATTTTCAAACAAAGCAGCTTGCCAAGTTGAAAACTCCCATTAAGTAGACTTATGAATGAATTACTGTTTGAAACCTTGGATGATAACATGAAATTCCTCCATTTAGTGGGATAAGATACTCAGTTGAAGTTCTGTGGCATGTCAGGCCAGGAATTTGAGGACCAGTCATTGAAGCCAGTGCTTGTGTTCATTAAATGGAGAGACGTAGGGTGACGTGAAACTAGAATGCCGGATATGTGTGTATTTGGGAACCACATGTGCACTTGAGCACCTCATACCCCAAATGGCTTCTGTTCTGGCGGCTCTTCCTGTCTGTGGTCACACTCCGGAGGTGGCAGAAGCTGAGTACTGTGGAGCTTTTGCATTTCCTGACCTGCACAGCTCCTGCTTCCAGACATCTGTGGCACTGGGAAGAGCTGGTGCTGCAGAAACTAGAAGGAAGACACTGCACAGCCTCATAACTTCTCTGGAGTCAGTGTGGATGATCGGGTCTTTGTTATGTGGCCTCAGCGCCTTGACTTCCCGACTGTGGCCAAGGAAGGCTAGGCAGGGAAGGACCAGCAACCACAGGCTGAGGTGCATGGGGAGTTTCATCCATACAGCTTTTGTTTGTGGGTAGGGGAGCTTTTCACAGAGCTGAGTTTTTAGTTTGACAGTAAAGAGGGCCTGCCTAAATGATGTTCAAGTATATGTACACTTGTTTATTTACATGTAATTAATTAAACACTTGCTGTATTTCAGTATGTCTGCTGGGCCTCATGCTAGCCTTATAAAGGAGCTACCATTTATCCCTGATATAAACTGGAGGCAACTAAAGCATAGAGAGGCTTAAATAAAACACAGCTTATGCACCCTAGAACCCCTGTTTAACTATTTGGGATCTTGTGTGCTTCCTTTGATTTTCTAACAAGATAGGACAGCTCAGGTCTTAATCAGCAAATGACTGTGGTCTGACACTAGTAGTAAGTACTTCATAACTCTACCAATTCAATTCTGAAGTTGTGTGACTTTGCTTTCTACTTGTCAACCCTGCAGGTGTGTGGCCCTGGCTCAGTAAATAAGTCAATGAATGGATTACTAGCCTTTCTTCCCATCTCTTCTCCTGTTTTCTGCCCTCTGACTCTACTGTTTGTTTTCCAGTCTGTACTATAAAAACAGTGAAAACAACCGTGATTAACGCTGATGGTTGAAAGTCCTCTCTGACCTCCCAGTGAAGCTGCAGGGAGCCTGCTGTCTTATTGTTGGTTTTTGAGATAATCTTGCTTAGCTGGAGCTGGCCTTACATTCATGTGTAACCTCTGATCCTCCTGTCTCTACCTCTGAGTTCTGGGATGGATGATAGGGGTGTGCTGTCACATCTTGTTTATGTGGTGCTGAATACACCTTCTGTACGAGCACTCTATGACAGCTAAGGCCCTGGTGCCTGATGCTCATGGTTTAAAGGCAAGGGATGCAGAGTGTTAAGGGCATCTTTACCATCCACAGTGGCTCTGCACATGCACAAGCCTGTTCTAACCTGCAGAGCTACTCCATATCTGCAGGTGAAGAAACAAGAAGGAAACGGCTACCCAGAGGAACTTCTCATGTTTTTACAGGTACCCAGTTTCCACTAAAGCAGTAGGACACCTTAAGGTTAATAATTGGATGATCAGCTGAACTTGTGAAACGTACATCAGTGACATTTTTCCTCCCAGTCATCTGTTATAGTGGGGAAGTTTCCAAGCTAGGGAGTAGTTAAACACTCAGTTTCTAACCCTTGTTACCTTCCACACTTTATTATTTATAATTTTTACTTTTGTATTTTTCAGACAGGGTCTCATGTCCCAGGCCTGCCTCAGTCTCTATATAGCTGAGAAACCCCTGAACTTCTGATCTTCCTGCTCTGCCTATTGAGCAGGTGTGTCCCTTGTTTATGTGGTACTAGGGATAGGACCCAGGGCTTTGTGCATATTAGTTGGGCACTCTGCCAACTGAACTACATCCTAGACCCTCCCGCACTGAAAACATTCTATGGCAGTTTACTGTAATAGAGGGGGCCGTGTGCGCCACAGCATGCACATGGAGGTCAGATGACAACTTGCAGGACTATCTTCTTCCCTTTGTACCGGGTCCCAGGGTTTGTTGTTTTGTTTTGTTTTTCAAGACAGGGTTTCTCTGTGTAGCCCTGGCTGTCCTGGAACTTGCTCTGTAGATCAGGCTATCCTCTAACTCAGAGTTGGACAGCCTCTGCTTCCCAAGTGCTTGAATTAAAGGCAGACACTACCACTGCCTGGTGTGTACCAGGGTTTAAATTCAAATCATCAGGCTTGTTGGCAAATACTTTTACTTACCAGCCCAACCCACATTTTGAAAAAGTTATTTTGGGGTTGCTGAGATGGTACAGTGGTTAAGAGTGCTAAGAGAACCCAAGTTTGATTCCCAGAACCTACATCTGGTGGTGTACAACTACTGTAATTCATCTCCAAGGGGTCTGGTACACTCTTCTGGACTCCTCGGGTACCTGCACTCTTGTGTATAGGCATGCACATGTACATGATTTGCTGAGAACCAGGCCAATCCAAGGCTTTCTGAGAGGCCCCGCCCAGTGAAAGGACAAAAGGAACCTGGTTCTGTGTCCTTGCCCAGGGGTAGACTTGACAAAGGCTGGCCTAGAGCTAGGGTTAAGCCCTTAAAGGAGTTAAGGGTTTGGTTTCTAGGAACTTGGTCTTTTCCCTTGAGGAAACTTGAGTTACCGGTCCCAAGGCTGCTGTGTGCTGGCTCTGTGGTGACTTGAGATACCCTGTATTCCCTTTGTGCAGCAGTGCCTGATCAGCTTCCTGCTGGCTTCATCCCGTCTGTGATGGCTTTCTGATGACTCCACCCCCTTCCCACCTCCCCAAAAACTATGTGCAGTATATAAGATGCTGTACTTCTTGGTAAACTTGTCTGGGATAAGACATAGCTTGTGCCGGGCGTTGGTGGCGCACGCCTTTAATCCCAGCACTCGGGAGGCAGAGGCAGGCAGATCTCTGTGAGTTCGAGACCAGCCTGGACTACTAAGTGAGTTCCAGGACAGCCTCCAAAGCCACAGAGAAACCCTGTCTCGAAAAGCCAAAAAAAAAAAAAAAAAAAAAAAAAAAGACATAGCTTGTACATGACCTCCAACCCCAGCTTTTATTTTCCTTATCTTCTTATCTTCTGGTACTCCCTCTTAGGATCACTGAGGAATGGCTTGCTGGTCTAGGTCAGTATGGTTTAAAAACCACCAAAATAATAAACTTTTTTTTAAGTATTTCCTCTTTTCTCATAAGCCCAACATTACAATTTTTTTTAAAGAAAAATGTTAAGACTTTATTCAAGGTATTATCAGGCATTATAACAAAACAGCAGAGCTTCAGCCTTTGGAATACTGCAGTTTACATCCCTTAGAGACACGGTCCAGTATACTATTTAATTATAGCTCATTCTAGAGGCTTCAGAAATAAACTAGAGGAAGTGTGCACAGTCACAATGGAGAACATCACTTCTGGGTGTCACTGTCCGAAGGTGAAGCACATCTTTTGCCACTTCAGATACTGTGCAAGGAAAACTGGGAAGGCTACACAACGGTTGTGGTGAGAAGCACTCTTAACACAAACACATGGACGGTTTACCAGAAAACAGACATATCAAAGGCCAGCAGAGTGAGCAAGCTATTCACAGTCAGGAGACATTATCTTCAGCAATGGAGCCTGTGCTCCAAGGCAAGGAACTCAACGCTAAGACAAGTGCAGACCTTCAAGCTAGCACTTGTAAACAGCCTGTGTCTAAGTCAGCAAAGTAGAAACATCCATTTCTCTTCTCTAGACAGCACCACACACTGCACAGACAGGGGTATTCACATCATGTCAGTCCACGTACAAATGCACAGCTTGTCAGAAAAGTAAACACAGTTTTCGAGAAACAAGACAGCTGCGCTCGGCTGTATAGCAGGTGTGTTTAAGAGAGGAGGTAACCCCCTAGTCAACACTTGAAGGAGAAGTAGTTACACTTACAGTGAGACAACAGTTTAGATACCTGTGATTTTAAAATCTCGAAGTAATACAGTATGTCTGAGGAGTGCTGCAAACAGTTTTGGCATAGCTGAGTACAAACTTGAGAGCCTAACATGTTATGACTTCCCGTTGTAATATGTGAAAATCTAATAGGACTGGAACTCTGCTCCTAAAGCCGTTTATTATTTGGGGGTGGGGTGGGGAGCTGCAAAGCTGCTTCTCTCAGGCTTTTCTGCACCTGTTTCTCTTCATCCCAGATACACCCAACTGACAGGTTTACATTTTACAGGCTATCATTTCGCTTGTCTGGAGCTGTTGCGTGAGCTTGACGAGGACAGATGTTTTCTTACCGAATTCAGATGGGTGTGGGCCACAGGCAGACTATTTGACCTCCCGGTCATCAGCTTTTGAGTTAGTTCCCTAGGGTTAGTTCTAAATTGCAGAATCACTTTTGGAGAATTTCACTAGGTGTATCTGGCAGCAATGAACTTCAATTAAAACCCTCTGTGAAGTGGCCAAGGTCCAGCTAATGTAGACCGGCAATCTCCCAGTGCATGTTTGTGTAGCTCAGTAACGGAGCGCTCTGTAATTGAGCCTGTGTGCAGTTATTGGCAGTTCTATGTGGTATACAACACTACTTCTCTAGTCTTCAGAGCATAGCTATGAAGAAACACAATCCAAATATAAGTAACTGGGTTGTGACCACTGCATGCATTACATGGAAAGAAAACACCGACTCTAAGCACGAATAGACTAGCCTTACAATTTGACTCAGCTCTCAGAGGGACGGGCAGCTCCCTAGACCACACCATGAAGACATGGAGTAAACATGAGTGTCAGTCCATCCTGTTCATCTGCCACGCAAGCCAGAGGGGAGCAAGAGCCACAGCTGCCTGTGGATCTCAGCCTCAGTCCACCCCAGATCCTGCCTTCTGATGGTTATGTGAGCACAAAGCCTACTTCTAGCCTTTTCTCTTTGCTTAGTGTTCTCTGAAACAAGGCGCTCAGATGTAGGCTCTTCCTCCTGGAGAAATCAGCCACAGCACTGGTCCCTGAAGGGGAAATATTCTTGCCAAGTGTTTCTGAGATACTTGGAATTCTTCCAGCGTTGAGTCTCCATGCCCCGCAAACGGTTCTGCTAAGGGTGAGACGTCTGCCTGCCTGAGGCAGGTCCAGTGTCCCCGGAAGGGCTCAGAAACTTCTGATCTTGAACCCCCTTCCCTGACTCAGCAACCTTCCTTCCTGTGGCTGAGACTCCGTGTTCCTGGCTCAGCTCTGCTGTGCGGGTTGCACAGCCACTTGAAGAACGTGGGCCATCTTCCGGCAGGAGTAGGCATGCCCTACTGGCACTGGCTTTGTAAGCAGGTGGAAGACATTGTCTGGAATCAAAATGTTTGTCTACATTTCTGGTTTTTGCAGCTCTCTCACCAGAACCTCTGGCAGCCCTTGCGGGTTCATTACATTAAGCTAAAAGCCGTAAATATATACATAATAGTCCGATGTATTAGTACCAAGAACAACAAAAAGTTTTTTAAAAAGATCACTTCGTTTGCATTTACAGGACTAAAAACTATGCAACAAATAAATTACAAACGTCCATCTCAGCAGCAGGGTAAGAGTGCCTATATATCTAAAAACATTGTGGCCACAATGACAATCCAACTGCAGAAGATTACTGACCCCGGAAGACGGAAAGGTCACCCTCCACCACCACCTTTTCCCTTTAGCCTCTCCCCCGGGAACAAAAAGGAAGGAACAGAAAATTGTCAAAGGCGAAGAGGGGAGCGAACAAAGGCCATGTCTGTGAGGCTGCACACAGGAAGCACACCTAGCCTGCGCACTTCCGCGTTACTAGTGACTAGCTCTTTAAGGCAGAGGAGAGACGTCTGTGGATCCGGTGCTGTTGGCTCATCTCACTCACGTGGTTTCAGTGGCCAAGGATGAGGTACTTTTCTTCCTGAAGCGGGATCGAAGGATTCTAGGCGGTGCCTGGTAGAGAGAGCAAAGAAAGGGCATCCTCCATGTGGCTTACGGGGTGGAATCTTGGGGGACAGCATCTGGGGAAGGGATACTGAGACATCATCTCCTTTGGTCAGCTTCCCCTAGTGTATAGAGCTGGGGTCCCCACAACAGGAATCAGTTACTGGAGTCCCACCCTTGTGAGGTGAGATTGAGCCGAGCCCGTGTAAAGGCCATCACGGGTTCCTGAGTCCAATGGGAAGGGCTGTGCAGAATGGCATGCCTTCCTTGTTTCAAATGAGTTGAGCCAGAGACAGCTCCAGCCCTTTGATTATTTCTGTATTTCCTCTGGGAACTTTTCTGGTGTATGCATCTGGATTCCAGGCTTCATTCTGGGCGTGAAACCTTTTACTATCCAGCAAGCCACACCACCAAGACCAACACCACCTCATCCATCTCCCCAACGATGACTACAGGGACTATTTCTTTCAGGGGAGGCACAAACCACAGGAGGCATTGCGACTGAAATAAAGAAAAGGGATGACTCGCCGGGCGTTGGTGGCGCACGCCTTTAATCCCAGCACTTGGGAGGCAGAGGCAGGAGGATCTCTGAGTTCGAGGCCAGCCTGGTCTACAGAGCAAGTTCCAGGACAGGCTCCAAGACAATACAGAGAAACCCTGTCTCGAAAAAAAGAAAGAAGAGGGATGACTCTCCTAGCATGCCACCCGATAGGGTTCACAGAGCTGGCCCCAATCTGCTGTCCACAGCCCAAGCTTCTCTGTGAGGACAGAGGACTTCTCTCCACTGTACTGTCATACCCCGGTCCTTTATGACTGGAAGCCCTGTTCCCCTTCCTCTGCCTTGTACTAGTCCCCCTGAGCACCAGCTCAAGTCACTTGTCTGGGAGACCCCTTGACTCTAACCTGCCTGGCCACACACAGCCACCTTTGTCTCTCATAGTGGCCTGGTTAGTGTTGTTTGCTCATTTGAGATTGGTCTTTCTAAGTAACTCAAGGTGGCCATGAGATTGTTTTGTAGCGAGGCTGGCATCAAACTTGTGATCCTCCTGCTTCAGCCTCCCAAGTAAGCTAAGATTACAGATGGGCTCCACACCTGGCTAAATGTTTGTTTCCCTCCCATACTGGAGCATTGAACCCAGGGTTCATACATTGTTAAACAATCAATCACTTTACCCATGAGATACGTTTTGTATATGCCCCACAGCAGAGGACTTTGTACGCAGGCCCAGGGAGTGGGATATTTGCACATGGCCCCTCACTGCCCACCAGGCTGAAGTGAGGCCTTTGTCCCTCTCATCACCATCTCTTGGTGACTGACTAGCCCAGTGCAAGGTAAGCACCCAAGTGGGGAATAGGTTCAGTGCCCCCGGAGCCCCCAGGCCATGGCTTCACTGGACATAGGCTGAGACAGTGGCAATAAAAACCTCCCCCTTTTAGGCACCTGTTTCTTGGACATTATAGTATGCAGGGGAGCCATGTGCAAAGCTTTAAACAGAACCACAGCTAGGTGTGGTGCACACCTGTGAGCGAGGTACTCAGGAGATGGAGGCTGGAGGATCAAGGGTTTGTGATCTACTACAGAGAGAGATTGAGGCCAGCTTGAGCTACACAGTGAGACTCTGTTTTAAAAAAACGGCCAGGTGGTGGGTGCACACACCTTTAATCCCAGCACTTGAGAGGCAGAGGCAGCCTTGTAAGTTGGAGACCAGCCTTGTCTACAGAGCAAGTCCCTGACAGCTTGGGCTACATGGAGAAACCCTGTCTTCAAAACAAGCAAAACAAACAAACAAAGCATAATCCCTGGGCCCTGGGATATTTAGATTGAACTCTCCCCATCTCAGACTCTGAGGCCAAATAGGACTAGTCCAGTACCCAGAACTTATCCATACCAGCTGGCTAGGGACACAGCTCAGTGGCAGAATGCTTACCTAGCATGTATGGGAGGCCCTGGTTTGATCCACAGCACTGGAGAAGGGGTGGGGAAATAATATGTGAGAGATGAAATGATCCGCCGTGGGCAGAGTGAAGGAAGTCCTACAGCTGAGGTGACTGTAGCTTTCATCTTGGAGTGAAGGAGAAAGCTAGGCTGCCATGCTTGTCAAGGGGAATGTTTCTGGACATCTCATCTGGTTCTCAGGATTGTAACAGGAATCATGATTTTTCACAATGGACCCTCAGGTCAGAGAGCTCAGTACATAAGGAACCAGAGAGGAACCCAGTGGCTTTGTCCTGAGCCCATGACTAGCAACTCTCCACTTGTGTCACAGAACAGCCCACGAGTGCCAGGCATGGTCCTACTGCTGCCAAACCATCTACATCCCAACTGACCATAATGCCAAGCTTATTGTTTTCTGGTAACTTTAAAGAACTGTAGTGCTGGAGAAATGGCTCATCTGGTGAGGCCCTTACTGATTTTCATCCCTAGAACTGATTCCACACCCCCCCACACACACATATCCCGTGGCAGGTAGCTAGAGGCTACCTGGTGCCTTGCCCTACCTATTTGATAGGGAAGTCATTTTTCCCCGTAGCACTCAGAGAATGTTGAGTATCACAAGTGACACCATTCTCAGGACCCCCAGATCTCCAGTGCAAACACATGATCCAGCCCACACCTCCAGACACCATGTACCTCCAGGGGCAACTCCGTCCTCCTCGGTGCCTTATACTTGTACATGAACTCCAACAGGTCCTCCTCCTCCTCGTCAGAAAACGCCAGTGGGCTTTGGACCTGGTGGGGCTCCCACGACTTCACACCACCCTCATTCACATCTCCCTCAACCACTTAATGTCCATCTAACAGAGGAGACAAAGTACAGCAGAGGGGAGAGGGTCAGCATGGAAAGGAGCAAGGGAGGCAGGAAGGGCAAGGTTAGGTACACCGCACCAGCAACCTGTTAGAACAGTCAGGGGCCCGGGTCTGGAGGAGCTCCGCTGTCTTTAGGGGGCCAGGGGGCGGGTGAAGGTGTAACTGGGAGACTCGGCAGCATGTGTATATATAATCAACTGTAGGCTCAGAAGCCACCGAACAGCTCCCAGGAGGATGGGAAGGGGACGCTCTGAGACTTGTCAAGCCCTGATGCTTAGACCCATGAGTTGACACGGGAGGAGTGCCTGGGAAGACTCTTCTCAAAACAAAACAAAACAAAAAAAAAACAAGAGCTGTGCTCCTGAGGAGTGATGCCTGGCTTTCTAAACTGTATGCACAGGTGTTGACCCTGCAGGCAGTACCCCTGTGCATGCAGTGCCAGGCATTCTGTAAGAGTCAGGGTGTAAGACGGCAAGAGACCTCAAGGGATAACTTGGAGCTGCGCTGCACAGAGTTTTCATTTCAAAGGACCCCGGTGCTAGATAGCAGAGGGCCCTCATTTTTATACAAAATCTGAATGTTTTAACTGTCACCCAACCCCCACATGACAGCAAGATTCCTATTTCAGTCTAACTTGAGTGAACTATAAGCAAAGCTCCAGAATTAACTTGGCCCATTGAATGCAGCCATGTTACTGAGCCAGGATGTTCTAGCTTAGTTAGTATGTAAATTACTCTGCCCATGCCCAGACATGGCATCCACAGACATGTCTTTCTATTCTTTGTATGCTGTCATCACCCAGAATCACAGAAGGTAGCGCTAGAGGGCCCACACCTCATCTGGTTCCACCACTCTGACGTCTGCAGACAGAAACCTGAGCTCTTTCTAGGTTACCCTGCTACTGCTCCTAAAACACAGTCAGCCACAGAACTGGCTCCATCTGTCAGCGGAGGGTTGGTTGCTCTGCAAACGCAGCCAGTATGAACTAAAACTAAAGCCAGCAACTATGAGCTTCTCCAGTTTGCGCTGCTGTGCTCCACGGCAGCCAGCAGAGGGCAGCATGAGAACACATGTGCCGTCAGCAGGCCTGGCAGAGCGGAGCAGTGGGTGGAGAGCCAGCTGCTCAGCCAGTTCGTCAGGGCCTGACATCATAAATTTGCCCTTTCTTCGCTTTGTGTTTCTCTCAGTCTGTTGACTCCAAGTTAAGTTGTTTTCTTGTCCCTTCACTGCCTAAATCGGCTTGTTGAACTAGAGGACAGTAACTCCATGATACTTCTTGAAAACTCAGGCCCTCCAGAGCCTCCTTGCTCCGGGCCCCCAGTAATGTTTATAGTCTGTACCCTGCAGCCCCTGGCATGTGCCCTGGTTCTCTTGTCAGCCACCCTGTCTCGGCTCAGCAGTGAGGTAGTGGGGTTGTGGCTACTCATCCCTTATATCCCCCAGCCTCTGAGGACCGGCATTCAGCCTTACTGCTAAATGGAGGCCTGTTGCTGCCTCAAAGATCTCATCTCTGCTCTGCACTGGGACATGACACGCCAACCAGGACATTCCTCCAGACACAGACTGCTCCTGGCAGGAAGCATAAGGTCCAGGCCTACCCAGGACCCAAACAAAGCACCCAGGCCAAGGTAAAAATGCAGAAGCGTCCTGGCCACCCATCAGAAACCTTCATCCTGAGGATGGGGCTGCGCACTGGCTGAGGTTAGGCCTCGAACAGGTGTGTGCTGCTCCCCTTAAACCCTGTTTCCAGGGCATTCCCTGTACCAATCGTCATGGGCATCAGAAGATAACCCAGAGACACAGCAGGATCCTTGGGTATCTAACTACTGGGTCTGCCCACCAGAATGCACTGAGGCTGTGCATCCAAACCACACGTTAACCACAATAATGATAAACACCTCCTGAGCTGGGCACGCATGTGAGTAATCCTAATAATTGCCTTGCGCCACACAGTAAGTTCCAAGACAGTCTGGGTTGCAGTGTGGGGACCCTGTCTCAGGACAAAAGCAAAATGAAACAAGCAAAAATCCAATACCCATCTCAGTACTGAAACTGTTAACAGGGCATTGTACATGCTCTCCACTGCAACCTTGAACGAGGACTCTATTTTGAAAAGAAGTGATCCTGTGACTCCTAGGAGCGGAGGTCATTCTAGACATACGGGCAGCAGGAGTAGAAGCCAGCCCTGATCTGGGCAGAGACTGGGAGCAAAGGAGGCCAGAGTGGGTGGTTGGGGGACAGAAATAGCTTCAGATGGAAGCCATACAGAACCCCACCTAGAAAACAGCCCAACTATTAGGATGGTCCCTGTGCATCTGTCACGTGTGTTGTTGGTATTTATTTAGTGTTCTGGAAATCAAATCCACAGCTTTGCACACACACTGACCTACCAGTAAGCAGAGTCCCTAGCCCCTTATTTGTATATTGTCTCTCTCTCGGGATGGAAAATAAACATGGACAAGCCACATTCCCAAGCTCTGGTGCACTGTGGACACTGGCTAGCTGTGCTTCCCTCTCCAGAGGTTGTGAGGAGGTCCCGTCTTCGCTGCTCCATGACCAGGTGGCTGCGCTAGAATATTCTCCTGATCTATCTCCTGGTCATATCCCCCAATTTCCATCTTTTCCTCACTTTGAGTCACCGTTTCACATATATTTCCTTCACATTCCTTTCCTTTTTGGAACAAGCAGCAGAGTAAATAAGACACAAGCCACTCCGAACTTGGCCACACTGAGGGGTGGCACCAGTTTGAGGGACAGGGCATGAAACGTAGGAGTGTGCCTACATATTTGCATAGACTTGTGACCCAATATGTGCTCAGCCTTGGCGATGGACCGGGATCCTGAGAACTTGTGTGGGTACAGGCTCTCCCGTAAGAGGCCAGGCCACACCCCTCCCAGTCCTTCAGCAATAGCAGCCCAGGCCTGGAGCCCACTGGGCTGTCATGGGTGTGTCAGGGTTGTGGTTTCTACTTAAGGACAGGGGTTCCTATTGTCTTCCACAACAGGGGACATGCATGTGTTAGTGTCAGGCTCAGCACTGAAGGATGGGAATGAGGGGCTGGGAAGTCTAAGCCCTTCAAAGACCTGAACAGATCTGCCAGTCCCAAGCCCTGAGTCACCCACCCACAGCACAGCACGACACCCAGGTTAGCATCCATCCCACACGACACACATTAGTGATGCAAGGCAGCGAATGTGTTGCAAGGACATGCCTATCTGAGCACTTACATCCAGGTTCCCAGCAGTGGCCAAGGAGAGAGCAAAGAAAAATCTGTTAGAGAAGGGACTTTGGAATGAAACTCACGCATACTTAGGTGTATGCCCAGCATACTTGATTTTAAAAAGAGGCTTGACACACGCCTTTCTGACTGAGGGACAAGGAGGGCGGGAAAGGTGGTGGACAGGGATAATAAGAGAAACATCTACAAAGAGACAGAAATATGCAGGAAACTGACAGGCAGAATGAAGCCGAGGTAGGGAGAGAACATTCTAGCGTCTGGGAGGCACAGTTTAGAATAGGCTGTGTCTGACATCTGCTGTTTGCCAGGCCTGTGAACTCTAATGCCATGGCTGTCACTGCCCTCTGAGGTGACTATCTGCCTCCCAAATGCCCACCTTCCCTTTCTCCACTGTCCTGAGTTGAGAACTGGATTTGCAAACCCTTTAGAAAGTTCAGTTTCTGCCCAGGGATCCTAAGGCCCTAAGTCTCCAGGGATGCCTAGAGCCTTCCCATGTTCTGGACTGAACACGCCCCACATGCTGTATTTCAGGGCATCAGGAGAAAAGCACCCCAGGTCCCCTGGAATCCTCTCAAAAGGTGTTGAAGCTTCCAGCTCCAGGTGTCAGACAAACACACCCCAGAGCCATCTGTCAGCACTTCCCAGCAGGGTGCTTCACTCGCAGAGGGCTGGAGGGACCACAGACCTTACAGAAGGGAGAATGGGCCCAGAGAGGAGAGCAGTCCCTAAGGACACAGAGGGATGCAATGGGAGGACGCATGGGATGGGCCCTTGCAAGGAGCTCTGGGGGCAGGAAGAAAGTCTAGAGGCCTGGATGTCAGCAGGACCCTAGGAGAGGAAGACCTGCAGACAGGGCTGGGGCCAAAGCGGCCCGGTCACAACTCCAAGCATAGCCATTCCAGCCAATGCCCAGCTATTTGCTTCTGGCTGTTCCACGCTCCCAAACCCCCATCCACTCTAAGACGCCTGCCACAGGGATCTACAGAATTCACAAGTTACTACTATCTGCAGATTTATCTGTATGGTGTGCAGACTTTGACTGTAAGACCAAACCACTGGTGTCCCATAGGTGAAGGTATCTTAGAGCCAAGAAGAAGAATGGAGCAGAAAGGATGGAGCATTAGTCGACCTGGTCCTAGGAGGTACTATCCTGGCTCACAGAATTTACAAGTCAACCTGCAGAGTGGGGGGCAGAAATGACCATTGCCATCTGGGGACACTGGAGTCTGTTTCCTATGAACCAGGAAGTCTACCAGACCCATGTGCCGGTGTCTGGCAATGGGAGTCCCCAACTTTCCAGACTGGTTGAACGCTACCCTCCCACTGTGTCCCTGCCCAGTGTCCCTGTCTGTCACGTGTCTTGGACTTACTTATGGCTTTCAAAACCCAGGACCCTAATACATCGAGTTAAGCTCAGGAACGTCTTCTAGGAGAGCAGTGTAGCTGGCCCCAGAGAGCCATAGCTCCGCCAGCTGTCACTCTCACACCAGCAAATGCAACATTAAGAGCATCTGTCTGCAAGTGGGAGTCCCAGAATCCTGAGTCCGTCTGGCTAGTCCAGCCTGTAAATCAGCCGTCATGGGCCAGAGAGATGGCGCAAGTAAAGGTGCCCGCTGCCCAGCCCGATGGTCTGAATTTGATCCCCCAAACTCACATCGTGGAAAGGGAGAACAGACTCTCCCACATTGTCCTCTGATCTCCACACACAGGCCTTGACATGCCCACCACATGTCCACGCACACCCCCATAGTAGTCACCCTTCAAAAAGCCCTTTGGCAGCCATTTCCATAACTGTTCGGGGAGGGAAGCAGGGACCCCGTCTCTGTTGTATGATGAAGAAACAAGTTCAGAGCAGTTAGATGACTCACAAAAAGCTGCACAGCTGTAAGTGGTAAGCCAGAGCTCCCTTGGCAGGGCTGAATCCCCTGAAAACTCAGGGCCTCCTCCTTCGAGGGAGTGTGGGCAGTCTCCCGTGTCCTCAGGACACATTGCACAGGGCTGTCTGTGTAGGACTATCCATTGGGTTAAAGATTCACACATGTGTCCCTGACATTCCTTCTAAGAGGCTTGGAACATAGGCTTGGCCTGGTGACTCAAGCAGAACAACTTAAAAGTAATTGCTAGCTTGACTTCAAAGGCAAGGTCAGGAATGGTTATGGTAGCTTCCTACCTGGCCCCTCTATCTAGAACCATTCTCTCTGGGCCAAGCCACTTGCCATGTGTGGGGACTCTCCAACAGCCTGAGTGGCCCCTGGAGCTATCTTGGAGTGGATCTGCCAGGCTCAGTAAAGCTTTCAGGTGACTGATCCCAGTCAGCATCCTAACTGCAGCTTCCTGAGGGGTTTGGCCATGGAAATGTAAGGCAGTGCTTGCCTTAAGAGTTCTGTCCCCCATCTGGCCCATGCAGCTGAAAGGGAGCCCCAAGGTCAGTGGCACCCTGAAGCAAGCTGAATCCAGCAGGCTGCAGGCAGGCAGGCTGCTACTCACCTTTCCGGGTCCTGCAGGTGGAGCAGCAGGTACACACTGTGGGAATTCGGTGGGGGCGCCGTCAGACATAGCCCCCGCCCAACAGGAACCAGGCCCCAGCAAACAGGAAGCCCCAGGGAAGTGTGTGCATCCCCCAAAGAGTTGGAATCCCAGGAAGAGGGAGGTGTCTCCAGACACTGCAGTGAGGGAAGGGATCATCTCTGATTCCACTTCCCCCAGGGTCAGGCCCTGCTTCCTGTAGCTGTGGGAGCTGTGAGAGTCTCCCCTGGGACTAACCATCTCTTCCTCAAAACCTCTCCTTCTACTGAGGCAACATGTACATGGCCTACATGGATATGCACCAGATAGGGTCCTATAGCTGAAAGGAGTAGTAGACACATGACCCTAACTCTAATTCAAATACTATCCCCAACTGATAACTATTTGCAAATTAAAATGTAGCATTCTTCTAGGAAGTCTCATTGGTGAAACTATATTCTTATATATTCTTAAGGATAGGCTGCATGTACAGAACTAGATGACCAATAGCAAATGAATTCAATGGCAAATTATTTGGAGGTTCCTTATCTTATTATGTGTCAGGACTTGCTCTTCCTTTCTATCTTTTTTTTCTTTTTTAAAAATAAATTTTGTCTATTTTTATTTTGTTTAAAAAAAAAAAACCTCTCCTTCTAGACAGTCCTCCAGGAAACCTCTTCAGACTGTTCTCTCATGCCCAGTGAACTAGTGTCTGAGAATTTGACAAAAAGACTAATTGGCTACTGCTTTGGACACCGCATTCATGGGTCTCCAGACCATGTGGATCTTGGCACACAGTAGGTGCTCACTAAATTCATTGCTGACCCAATGACTCAGAGTCTGTGGAAGGCTCTCTTCATTCTCTCAACTCCTGGTGTACCTTTCCTGGTGGCTAATGCCAGCCATTCCAATGTGTGGTCCCTCCCTTTCAGTTCACTCTGGGGTGGGGCAGCCAGTCTCTGCCTGTCCTAACCCTTTCAACCAGAGGGCAAACTCCAGGCAGGTGAGTCAGCTCTGGGGTGTGACTCAGCCTCACCCTGGGTGCTGAAGGTGGCAGCACAGAACTCTGCTTCTCCATCTACCAAGCTCAGACCCTGTGCTCTCCTCGTGTCGCACGGAGGGGCCGTTGTGTGTAAGGCCTGTGGCAGGCCAGTGGAGTCGGTTAGAGAGGGAGGCAGAGCCAGGGTCTGTCCGCTAGAACGCTGCAGGCAGAGGCCTCACAGCAGTACTGTTTCACGTGTGTCTTACCGCTCCTCTTTTTGTTTCCTCGAGATGCAGAGAGCAAATGCTCTTGGCCCCACTTCTCAGCCGACCATCCTCACCGTGTCCTGGACCCACCCCATCGCTTCTATCCAGGACCCCACCCATTCTCCTTCCTCAAGAAGCATGAATTTCAATGCTTACATGCATCTTTTTGCTTAACTGTGCTCTTGCAAATGTATTATTTTGTATACTATGTATATTTTTTGTGTGTGTGAGTGTGTCTGTGTGTGTTTGAGGGTGAGCCTGCCCCTGATTGTGAATGTAAAGATGGCAGGTTGAAGTGGTTTCTTCTCTTGCTCTCCTCTTCATCTTTTGAGACAGGATCTCTTACTGAACCTGAAGTTCACTGGTTCTTCTAGACTGGCTGGCCGGCCAAAGTCTCAGGGTCTTCCTGTCACCCCCTTTTCAGTGCTGGAATTATAGGCTTGTGCTACTGCACCAGGATTTTCTATGAATTCTGTAGATCCAAACTCAGGTTTACAGTAAGCAGTTTGCCAACTAAGCCATCTCTCCAGCCCCTGCTGTCACCTACCTATCCGCCTACCTACCTACCTACTTATCTATCTACTTACCTATCTACCTACCTACTACTTATCTACCTGCCTACTCATCTACCTACCTACCTACTACCTATCTACCTACCTTTTTCTAAAGACAGGGTTTCTTTGTGTAGCCTCTCTGTTCTAGAACTCACTCTGTAGACCAGATTGGCCTCCAACTCAGAGACCCACCTGCCTCTGCCTCCCAAGTGCTGGGGTTAAAGGCATGTGCCACCACTGTCCAGCCTGTTTTTTAAAGAAGGTCTCATCATGTAGCCCTGAACTGGAACTCACTATGTAAATGATACTGGTCTTGAACTCACAGCAATTCTCCTGCCTCTGCCTCCTGATTGCTGGGATTAAGACATATTTCATCACAAATGGCTATATTTTTACTTTACATAAATCATTACATAAGAATCATTTATGGTTTGTGTATTTCCAGGGGGGGGTATCCTGCTTCCAAGATCCACCAGTGTCCACGGAATCTGGGACTTCCAGTTGCTGCAGACACAGCCGGTAGCCATGCCTGTCCCCATCCCCTCTCCTCAGCGTCCTCAGCTCTGTTTGGAGTCTGAAAATGATCTTCGTTTCTTCTCCATCTCTTCTCACAATCCTAAGACATGATGGGGCCTCTTCCTCAAGAGAAAGCTTCCTGCACAAGGCCAAACCCTCTGCCATGACTTAGGCATCCATCTGAGAAAAGTTCTAAGACCAGGAGTACCCGGAGCTGAGGGGAGGAAGCGGCTCACAGGAATGAGCAGGAGCAAGTGTGGTGACTGCTTGCGGTGTCAGCTTCCCTGTGTGGCATTTTCTGCATCCTAGAGGCTCAGTGTCACCTAGCCAGGAAGGACTAGGTGTTGTGCACTTGGTCCCCAGGTGATGATGCTTTTTTGGAAGGGCTGTGGAACCTCTAGGAAGGCGAGGCCTTACAGGAGGAAGGGAGCCACAAGGCACGGACCTTGAGTACTGGGGGTCACACCCCACTTCTGGTTCTCTTCTGTTTCTTGACTTGGACCCATATTCCTGCTACCATGCCCTCCTAGCCACAATAGCCTGTGCCCTCAAACTGTGAACCAAAATAAGGCTGTCCTCCCTTCCACTGCTTCTGCCAGACTTCTTCCCAGGGGACCTGTCTGTCACCTTGTGGATGACGGCCCCAGCTCCAACACGGGCATGGGAGCTTCTTCTACGCCATCTTCATGAGCTCATCCTCATTCCATCTGTCCTTCTTTCTGAGGAAGCTGCTTGGGACAATGCTATATTCCCTGACCTCCCCACCACAGGCCAGCACTCTCTGAAGGGTGGTCTCAGGATGGCAAGGATCGCACCACCCCACCAATACCAAAACAAGCCACCCCAGACCTTCGTCTAACTATTGCCGGCTGGAAGCTGTTTCCGGCCTTGGAGAGATCCCCATTACCTCTGAGACGCGGCCAACCTCCTCTCATTTCATTCTGAGCCCTTACCTGAAAACTCTGTCAAGAGGCAGTCTGGGGAGGAACCTAGATTCTGTTTGTGTATGACCCTGGAAGAGTGTGTGACCTCCCTGTGTGGCAGCCTCTACTTGATTCTCCTTTCAAATGACATAATAGACTCTTAGAGGGAAAAGGATGCAGGGCTACCTGGGCCACTTCCCAGCCAAAGCAGGACGTCCTATCTGACCTTCCAGCTTTGGTGTGGGCCATTCCAATATCAGGGCTCACACTGCCTCAGAGAGGAGCCATTGTAAAGAACATTCTTAGATGATAATACATATACACACACACACACACACACACACACACACACACAAAGATTTATAACAATAGCTACTTACTAACTACTGGTACCAGACATGGTATTGAGTTTTTGGGCCTGAATGTGTTATCATGTCTACACCTCAGAATCAGGTGGGGTCTGTCAGGACCTGGGGCTCAGAGCCCAGGCGCCTTTCATGCTGCTTCTTATAGCACCCAGTAAGGGTCCAGGTGCCCTGGAGGTCCTGGTTTGCATGTTTAAGGGCAGGAGAGACATATACAACAACATATTCGCAAACAGCCCACGTTCTAATTATTCTGTAACAAGGAGGGGGTAGGGTGGTGACCCAGCAACCTCCCCCCCAACACAGTTTCTGCCACCTGGAGAAGTTGGTGACCTGCACCAACCCCGCTCTGCCATCAGGGGAAGGTGGTGACCCAGCACCCTCCTGGCCCACTCTCTGCCATCAGGAGAGGCTGGTGGCCCAGCATCGTCCTCTATACTTCCTGCTGTCCACCATTCTCTGTCAGCAGCTCAGCTCTGCTCCCTGAGCCACTGTCACCTCATAAGGATCCATCTTGGAAACTGATAGCTTCCAGTTCATTCACTGACCTCCAGAAGCTCCAAGTCCACGCGAACAGACTAGATAGTGGATTCACACCTCAATCTACACCGTTATAGACTAGATACTGGATTTACACCTCAATCTACACAGCTGGGTCTCACTCACATCTACTGAGATCTCTGGAGACAGGCCTAAGATTCCATACATTAAATACAGTTCGTGGTCAAGTCCCACATGGGCAGTCTGGTGCCCAGTGCTTATCCATGAGAGAAGAGGTAGATTTTCAGATACTGGAAGGACTTGACCTCCCCAGGAACTGAACCTCAGGCCTAGGGTGGTCCTTGATAGGTGCAGACTGTGGGCACACGTAGTGAGTAGGTAGGTAGTCAGAGACAAAGTGGACATAGGGGAGAGGGAGAAAATCCCTATGGGTGTCACCAGCTCTGAGGAGTGGGAGAAGATGCTCAGGGGGCCATGAAACCTGCGTGTGGGGTCAGAGAGAATTGAAAGGACTCCCAAGGCCACGACTACACCTTCTGCTCCTGACTTGGCCGAGGTACTAGCACCCAACACTCGGACTCCTCAGACAATGATGGTGGAATAACCTGCTGATGCCCGAGGCACCGTCCCCAGGCCAGCTTCCTGAGTGGCTGTGCTCCTCATCTGGCTTGGTATACTCTAACAAATACGTCTGTTGGTGACAGGTCCCTGGGGCAAGAGACACTGTGTGCTGCTCCTCTAAATGACCGCGAGGCTCAGGAGTGAGAGAGGGGAGTGGGGAGACATACCTGAGCTGCCAGCACTCTCGGAAGCACTCCTGGACATCTTAGGCTGGCCATGTTTGCCGCTGGACCGACCAGTCCCTGGTGGAGGCGGGCCTGAGGGAGCGGGGGCACCATCACCCCTGATGGTGGTGAGGTCCTGCATGCTGAAGCTCCGCAGTCTCTCCGACAAGGCACCCTGTCCCTGGACACAACACAGGAGAACACTTGTCAGGGGCCTGACCGGACGCTCATGGGTAATAACTCGAACAGACATGAGGCGTGACAAAGGCTGAGAGACCTTTGCTCTGTGAGTAGCCAAGGCAGAAATACCTGGGTTGCCTCTCCTGAGATTCCAGATATACTTGCTGATATGCCAGGTATATTCTCGGGCCACCTTTTAGAGATGTTCCCTTCCCTCTTTCAGACACCCCAAGGAAATCTGCAGCTAGGATTACTATCCTCTACAGCTCCGCCACCTGTTTTGAGATAGGGTCTCATGTGTCTGAGGCTGGCCTCGAACTTGCTGCTTAGCAATGCAGACATATACCTGTCAGTATGATTCTCTTGCCTACACCTCCCAAATGCAAGGATTACAGGCACGGGGCACCACACCCAGTTTATGGATCGATGGGCTCAAACTCAGGATTTATGCGTGCCAGGCAGGCACTGTACCTCCTCAGCGACATCCCCAGCCACTGCAGCCCCTGCTCTCTAGAGATGCCTGGAGGCCGCTGGCTTCCCACCAGTAAAAGTCTATATATGGCCACATTATCCTCAGTTCTCAAAATCTGGTTACAGACTCGAAACCTAATATTCTATGTGCTCAGCCCTCATCCTGCCCAAAGGCTATAAAATGCAGCCAGTCTTGTTTCAATGCGTGACAGCAGTCTTTTTTTTTTTTTAATCTGTGAAGATGAGAATGTTTACAAGGCACATTTCCTCATATTGGCGCATTTGAGTTTCATAAAATACCCAAAAGGTATTGAATCAGGAAGGAAGAAATGATATTTAAAAAAAAAATCTCTGCTGTTGAAATAACCACTTCCTACACTGAAGGCGCTGCGGAGCAAATCTCTGTGTGAATGTATTCTTTTGTTCAGGGAAGCAAGGTAAGTGCTGTGTGGATGAAAGAGCAAAGGTCCCTCCTCCACCTGGTCCTGAGTGACAGGTCTGTGTAAGAGAAAGGATGGCAAAGACAGGGCGTGGCGTTGCTGGGAGTGCCTGGGGGCAGGAGAGACAGTCACATTTGTTGTTGCTGTTTAGAATTTATTTTATTTTTGCATAGTTTTATTTTTTCACTTATTATTAGAGGCTTTCACACATGCATATGTATATAATGTGTTCTGATCAAACTTATGGGAGTCCTATCCTTGCTGAGGAGTTACTGGCAACTGATGGCTGAGGGCGGAAGTCAGGGAGTCAGTTGTCTTTTTAAGGATTATTAATTTAAACTTGTGCGTGTGTGTGTGTGTGTGTGTGTGTCCGTGTGCACAAGTGTGCACAAACAACTGCTAGTCAAGCCAGAAGAGGGTATCAGATCCCCTGGAGCTGGAGTTACAGTTGGGAGCTGCTGGACGTGGACACAGGGAAGCAAACGCGGATCCTCCAGAAGAGCAGCAAACAGTCTTAACCACTGAGCCATCTCTCTAGCCAGATTCTACAAGAAGGAGGCCCCTGGTGGGTCACCCATGTTCCAGCAGATGGCGGATACCGATGACCTGAAGAGCTGAGTGGGTCAGAAAACAAAAGAAAACCCAGAGTGGGAGAGAGGCTGAGAGGAGGCCGGTGTTACTGAGATAGTGTTGGGCCAGGAGCTTGGGTGTGCTCAGGATGCTGGTGACCCCGCAGCCTGCCCTCAGGTACAGGGTGGCAATGGCCTCTTCATAGCGGGGCGTGAGTGGTGCCCAGTGTTCCAAAGGACTTGTGAATCACAAGGTAGGGTAGACACAACAACACAGCAGATCAGTGCAGAGGGGACAGGGTGGCGACAGCGCAAGATGGGCAAAGCGCCAGACAGAGGCTTTCTTCAGCTGGGGAGCGGGGCTGGGCAAGGCTTTCCTCGTCATCCAATAACAAACAAATGATCTAAGAGGATGGGCAAGACACAGCCGCTGGCTACAATGGAAGATCTAATGCAACAAGGAACGCAAGAAAGCAAGGCACAAAATGATAACAGAGAGATTGTGTTTATGTGTTTAGGAATGTGTATGCACACAGACATATGTCGCAATAATTAAAGAAAAAGAGGCCGCTAATTTAAAAGAGTGGATGGGGTCCACGGGAGAGGTTGAAAGGATGACAGGAAGGAAATGATATGACTATGTTATAATCTCAAGAAATAAAAAAATTATAATAGTGAAAGCAACAAAACCACAAACAACTACTGCAAGCAACATGGGCTAGCACAAGGTTTAACGATGCACCAAGAAACGAGATAGGTAACCTTTCAACCTACCAAAGGTACGGAGACCATGTCTCGAGGAAACTAACAGCAATGACATACAGGGCATGGCGGCTCACGCCTGCAATCCCCAGCATTCAGGAACTGAGGCAGGAAAATCATCACAAGTTTGAGGCTTGTCTTGGCAGCACAGTTCCAGGCCAACCTGCGCTACAGTGTGAAACTTATTCCCGGAGAAGCCAACAACAAGCTCAAACCACAAACAGAAAATGGTTTAAGTAACCAAATATTGCCAGTTAGAGCCATTAATCTATAGAACATAAAGCATTGTGTGCTTAAGATACCCACCGTGTAGAACAAGCCAGAGTTACGTGTGTAAGAGGGTCAGCTAAGGGCCTGGAGACACGGCTCAGTGGTTAAGAGAGCTTGTTGCTCTTCCACAGGAGCTGAGTTCAGTTCCCAGCTCCCACATCAAGAGGCTCACAACTGCCTGTAAATCCAGCTCCGGGAGGATCCAACACCTTTGGCTCCCACAGGAATGTGTACATCCCCCCAAAAGGTACCACATATACACAATTAAAAATGTTTTATTTTATTTTTTTATTCCAGTGAAGATGATGGCTGCTGTTGTCACTACACCTAAGTTACCACTGAAATCAGTGAGAGAAAAGACAGCTTATGTCTAAAAGCACCAGGTGGGGTTTTATGACCGCAAGCCTAAATAACCGGTCAGGGACTAATTCCATCAACGTCTTCTGGGTCTTGTCAATGCTCTGCAGCAGGCCTGCGGGAAAACAGCAGCCTACACACTACGTGTCCATTTGGCAAAGGGCTCCGTTCCACTCAGAGAAGCCAAGCCAGCGCAGCTCCAATATCACCGGCATCAGGAAGATCGCAAGAGGCAAGGGTTAGGAAAGAGGAGATACGGATGGCTCAGGACCAAGCTAGCTCTGTGCTGGGAGGAACCACAGAAGCATGGAAACAAGAGTCCTGGAAACAGCTGGAGACGTCTCAAAGCAACACGCCTCTCACCTGAAAACCTCTTAGCTGTACCCAGTCTCTACTCCACCTCCTTCTTAGTTACCGTCCACGAGGCCCACTTTAGCCGTGTGGGGGAACCCCATCTTCTGTTTGGGGGCTGTCATCTTCTGGAAGAGCTTCTGTCTGCCACACTGGGTTCCCTACTCTGGGAATTAATCTTTGCATTCTCTATGTTTGAAAAAGCATAATGTAAGCAGGGCATGGTGGTGCACTTGGGAAGTAGGAAGCCAGCCTGGTCTACACTGAGTTTCAGGACACCCAGAGCTACATATTGAGACCCTATCTCAAAAAACGTATAACATCATATTGTCCCTAACTCAATGAGCACTGTGATATTAAAATGCTCTGAGAAGTCCTACAGTGGTTTGTTTGTTTCATTTTTGTTTTTTGTTTGTTTGTTTTTTGTTTTGTTTTTGAGACACAGTATCTCTACAGGCTGGGCTGTCTTGGAACTCTCTATGTAGAGCAGGTTGGTCTTGAACTTACAGGGTTTCACCTACCTCTGCCTCCTGAGAGCTGGGGTTAAAGGCATGCGCCACACCACCTGACTGCCCTACAGTGTTTGGGGCTGTTTAATAAAATGTATTCCAAATGTCTGTGGCCACCGTAGGAGTCACTGAGAGCCAACCATGCAAATGTCTTCTCAAACCTCATTGTTTTCCTTTTCTTTTTTCTCTTTTTTGAGACTGGGTCTCACTATGCAACCTTGGCTGGCCTGGAACTTCCTATAAAAACCAGTCTGGCCTTGAACTCATCAAGGTCTATTTGTGTCTGCTTCCCAAGTGCTGGGATGCACCACCATACCTGGCTTTTCTTTTGAATACGCATGTGTATGTATTGCATGCAGGCGCTTTGGGTCATGTGTGTATTTGTGTATGTGGAGGTCAGAGGACATTCTCTGGGACACTGTCTACTTCCTTTGAGTCAGGATCTCTCCTTGACTTGGAGTTCACCAAATTAGGCTAGGCTACTCTGGGGATCCTTTAGTCTGTACCTCCCCAGCACAGGGATCGCAAGCCTGTGACACCACACTAGACGTTTTTCCTGGGTTCTGGGGACTCAGATGTTCATGCTTATATAACAAGTGCTTTACTGACTGCACCATTTCCCAGTCCTCATTCTTGAAATGATTACGAAAAACAAAACTTTACTTTTCTTGCCTCCCTTGCAGCTATGGCTGCCATTATACTGCAGTCTTGTCCAATAGGCTGTGAGGAGAACTCTGCTGAGGGGTTTTCAGTTGGGGGGACATTTTCTCTTCCTGATATGCAGGAGAAAGTCCGGCCCTGCTCCTTTCTCTCTGCCTTCATGGGTGGTTCAGATCCCAGAACTGGAGACAGGAGAGTCACAGAGTCGTTGCCCAGAGCCTCATTGTAATAATGACAGCTTCCGTCTCCTCCTAGGTTTGTTTGTTTGTTTTGTTTTGTTTTTTGAGACAGGGTTTCTCTGTATTGTTTTAGAGGCTGTCCTGGAACTTTCTCTGTAGACCAGGCTGGCCTTGAACTCACAGGATCCGCCTGACTCTGCCTCCCCAGTGCTGGGATTAAAGGCGTGCGCCACCAACGCCTGGTTCCTCTTAGTTTTTTTATAAATGGTTTTCATCAGTTCATGAACCCAGTCTTCCACCTGCGAAGTTGCAGGTGTTCCCATAATTGCTTCTGATATCACTATCTCCACACATATGTATACTTGATTATAACCCATGTCAAGACTGGATAATGGAAGGTTCTGGGTGTTCAGCTAAGAGAATAAATAAAGGT